GATTGTTCTATATTCTGTTGTTGGGTGGCGTGTTCTATATTCTGTTGTTGGGTGGCATGTTCTATATTCTGTTGTTGGGTGGCATGTTCTGTATTCTGTTGTTGGGTGGCGTGTTCTATATTCGGTTGTTGGGTGGCGTGTTCTATATTCTGTTGTTGGGTGCTGTGTTCTATATTCTGTTGGGTGGATTGTTCTATATTCTGTTGTTGGGTAGATTGTTCTATATTCTGTTGTTGGGTGGCGTGTTCTATATTCTGTTATTGGATGGATTGTTCTATATTCTCTTGTTGAGTAGATTGTTCTATATTTGGTTGTTGGGTGGCGTGTTCTGTATTCTGTTGTTGGGTGGATTGTTCTATATTCTGTTGTTGGGTGGCGTGTTCTATATTCGGTTGTTGGGTGGCGTGTTCTGTATTCTGTTGTTGGGTGGATTGTTCTCTATTCTGTTGTTGGGTGGATTGTTCTATATTCTGTTATTGGATGGATTGTTCTATATTCTCTTGTTGAGTAGATTGTTCTATATTTGGTTGTTGGGTGGTGTGTTCTGTATTCTGTTGTTGGGTGGATTGTTCTCTAGTCTGTTGTTGGGTGGATTGTTCTATATTCTGTTGTTGGGTGGCGTGTTCTATATTCTGTTGTTGGATGGAGTGTTCTGTGTTCTTTTGTTAGATGGCGTGTTCTATATTCGGTTGTTGGGTGGCGTGTTCTGTATTCTGTTGTTGGGTGGATTGTTCTCTATTCTGTTGTTGGGTGGATTGTTCTATATTCTGTTATTGGATGGATTGTTCTATATTCTCTTGTTGAGTAGATTGTTCTATATTTGGTTGTTGGGTGGTGTGTTCTGTATTCTGTTGTTGGGTGGATTGTTCTCTAGTCTGGTTGTTGGGTGGCGTGTTCTGTATTCTGTTGTTGGGTGGATTGTTCTCTATTCTGTTGTTGGGTGGATTGTTCTATATTCTGTTGTTGGGTGGATTGTTCTATATTCTATTGTTGGGTGGCGTGTTCTATATTCTGTTGTTGGATGGAGTGTTCTGTGTTCTTTTGTTAGGTGGCGTGTTCTATATTCTGTTGTTGGGTGGCGTGTTCTATCTTCTGTTGTTGGGTGCCATGTTAGAACATATTCTCTTGTTGGGTGGAGTGTTCTATATTCCGCTGTTGGGTGGAGTGTTCTGTATTCCGTTGTTGGGTGGATGTTCTATATTCTGTTGTTCGATGGTGTGTTCTATATTCTCTTTTTGGGTGGCGTGTTCTGTATTCTGTTGTTGGGTGATGTGTTCTGTATTCTATTGTTTGGGTGGCACATTCTATATTCTGTTGTTGGGCGCCGTGTTCTACATTCTGTTATTGGGTGGAGTGTTCTATATTCTGTTGTTGGGTGGTGTGTTCTACGAAATGTCAGGTCAGGTTGGTTAAGGGTTGTTAGTTTAGGTTTTCTATATTCTTAGTTTTTTCTTTTTTTGCTCTTTTCATCAATTGCTATGAGAAAGAAGTGTTGAATTTTTTCAACTGTAATTGTGGATTTGTGTGTTTCCCCATTCAGTCCTATTGGTTGTTGCTTTATCTCTTCTCTAAAACTATATTTTAACTTACTTTTACTGATTTTGAAATAGATTTTTTGTTTAGGAAAACAAAGTGTTAAAATGTAAACCAACCAGAGATAATTTTAGGGAGCAGTGTTTAATTCAGCCTTCAAACTTGTTCATGAGTCGTGACCAATCTTTGTTGTCATATTATTATATTAAAAACTATTTCAGAGAGGAAATTTGTAGCCAGGTACAGTTTTTTTTGTAGTTTGATTAAAAAGTTAAATTTATCACAATGAATCATATATTTTTAATGTTACGATTCCTGTTGTATAAAAATTTTACTAACAAATTTAAAAGGTGAGAAGAGATCAAATTGTTTTGCAGTTATAAAATTATCACTAGTTTAGCCTTTGAGAATATAGGTAATAGATTAAAAATTCAATTTAAAAATGATTTAAACTGCTTTTGAGACTTCCTCCATAACTGACCTTTTTCATTTATGAAAAGCAGACACTCGCCTATGGGGACATGAACCATGAGTGGATCGGCAACGAGTGGCTCCCCAGCCTGGGCCTACCCCAGTACCGTAGCTACTTCATGGAGTGCCTTGTAGACGCCAGGATGCTGGACCACTTGACCAAGAAAGACCTTCGAGGGCAGCTGAAAATGGTCGACAGTTTTCACAGGTAACTTAATGGAGATAGTTCTTACTAATTGGCTAAGATTTTTCACTGTTACCATCTCTAAATCATCTCTCTTTTCTTCCAAATAGAAACAGTTTCCAGTGTGGAATTATGTGCCTGAGAAGGTTAAATTATGACCGGAAAGAACTGGAAAGAAAAAGAGAAGAAAGTCAGAGTGAAATAAAAGGCTAGTACATGACATTTAATTGATTTAGTTCACTCCTACTTGCTGGTGTGTTTGCAGCCTCAGTGACTTCCTGTTTTCCAAAAAATCAAGAAAGGCTAAATTTAAGTGGAGAAAACTAGTCTAGTGTCATTGCAGAGGAGGGCTGGATGAAGATGAGTGCTTTTGATATCCTCTTCCACAGCCAGAGAACTGTTCCCTGTGTTCTCACACCTCAGTGTGGAGGTTAAATGCCTCAGGCTAGTCATTTCCTATGAGTTGAGAGTTTTCCTTTGGTCATGCCCTGTGTACTCCTTCACTCCAAAATGCTGTTCCACACTGTTAGATAACAACAGAGCAAAGCTCACTTGATGATTCAAGTGTAAGAAATATGACTGGGGGCTTATCCAAGGGGTTCAGGAACACAGGAAAGCGCCGTGCAGTTCTGCTCCCAGAGTGGAAGGAGAAGCAGCGTCCACATTTCAGCCAGTCCTTGAAGAAGGTGGAGGAGCTGCTTAGGGTAAGGAAAAGGCATTTCAGTTGGAAAACACAAGCCAGGGAGGTTAGAGGATGTGGGACATTCATCCAGAGGATGTGGAGTTGGTTCTCCTCTCTGTTGGGGAGCCTCTCACTCGGTACTCAAATTTGTTTGTTTGTTTATTTATTTATTTTATTTTGAGACAGGGTCTCGCTGTCTAGCCCAGGCTGGGCTGGAGTGAAGTGGTGTGATCACAGCTCACTGTAGCCTTGAACTCCTGGGCTCAAGTGCTCTTCCTGCCTTAGCCTCCCTGGTAGCTGCTGGGACTACAGGCGTGAGACAGGGTCTCGCTATGTCACGTAGGCTGATCTTGAACTTTTGAGCTCAGGCGATCCTCCCACCTTGGTCTTCCAAAGTGTTGGGATTACAGGTGTGAGCCACCACACCCAGTCAGAATTTGGTTTTAAAGTTAGACGGTAAACATTAAGCTCAGAGTAATGACTCCCAGAATTCCTGGAATGCAAGGAAGTCACTAATAACAATAGCGATAAGAAGAGGCCAGCCTTACTCACAGTGAGTAGGCACCGGGTGGTGCTCCAAGCACTCCGGGGTTGGCTTCTTTGTCTTTCCCTCAGCCCTGTCAGTCTAAGTGCTGTTTTCATCCCCACTTTTTACTAAGAAAGAAACTAAGGATAAAAATATGGTTGGGAGATGGCCCAGCTGAAGGGACGTTTACTCATGATTGAGTTAATGTGAATCAGGAGAAAAGTCGTAAGTCGACATTTATACAATGTGTGTATATGTATGGACTTTTATCCAGAAAAGGGCATTGGAAATGAAATATGTCCATCTGTTTTGTTTTCTGTATCTATTTTACATCTTTTTCCAATAGACAAAAACTGTCTTTCGAAGTGATTGGTGATCATCTGCATATATTTTTATAGAGTGGCTATTTTTAGATCTAATAGAGCAAATTGAATAATTTGTTAATTTTCTTAAGATATTGTGACCAGGCATGGTAGCTTATGCCTGTAATCTCAACACTTTGGGAGGCCAAGGCTGGAGTATTATCTGAGCCCATGAGTTCAAGACCAGCCTGGGCAACACAGTGAAACCCTGTCAGTACCAAAAAATTAGCTGGGCTTCGTGACATACGCCTGTAGTTCCAGCTCCTCAGGAGGCTGAGGTGGAAAAAATCGCTTGAGCCCCAGAGGTTGAGGCTGCAGTGAGCTGTGATGGTACCAGGCTGTATCCAGACTGGGCGACAGAGCAGCACCTTGTCAATAAAAAAAGAGAGGAAAAAAAAAGATTTTCTGCAAAGCCTCTAATATGCTGGATGATATTTTTAAGTTTCTCTCATTTTAAAATGAGACAAAGACGTCAAGATTAGAAATGAGAGGTTTCTGTGGAATTATGCAAAGTGTTCATTTTATTCTGAAGCCAGCTCCATCCGTGATGAAGTTTTCAGAAGACTCCAGTCTGTGTGTGAAGCATGTTTATACATGTTAGGTATTCACGTTCTTGCAGTCCTCTGGCTTCTGATCCCTGGATCCTCCTCATCTTCTTTTCTCTAGAAATAATAACTTCATTCCTCTTGTGCTCACTGGAAGGATGAGTTCTAATGGCAGAGTCTCCCTGAGAGTGGAGCAGGGCCAGGACACCATTGTCTCAGTGCAGCAAATGATTGTCTATTTAGCAGTGTCTCCCAGCACTTTTGTCAGGAGCCGAAGGATTAGGAACCATGGTAGGAATCTTTCTCCTGCATTCCCGGTACATGTGATAAAGATGGCTTTCTGAAGCCACTTTTATAATTGTCTTTATTCTTTTGCAGACGTGCTTGTTTGGAGCAATGATCGAGTGATTCGCTGGATCCTATCAATTGGCCTTAAAGAATATGCAAACAATCTTATAGAGAGTGGTGTTCACGGAGCACTTCTGGCCTTAGACGAAACCTTCGACTTCAGTGCACTGGCACTGCTATTACAGATCCCAACGCAAAACACACAGGTGATGCCAAGCCTGTCCGTGTCTGCATTCAGTGTTCAGTTGGTGCCCTGATTATAGCCAGTTATTTGAATAGAAAGAAAACTTAGAGAAAAAAAAAAACCTTCAGACAACTAGTTTTTTTGTCTTTTTGTTTTTGGTCTCTCACCTTTCCCTTTTCTGTTGAAAGCATGAGAGTCCTGCAATAAACCAGGTAAGGAGGAGCTTTCATTCCAGCCCACGTGCCCGATCAGAAGAGTGACATATATTTAGTGCTTACACGGAAAGGGAAGTATTTCTAGGTGTGCCACATGAAGATTTTATTAATTTTGTTTTTATGGGTAATTGCCTTATGTAATTCTTTTTGACTTATGGGCTCATTTGAAAAACAGAGAACTTTTATTCCTCTACAGAACATTGAATATGCCAGGCGAGGTGGCTCATGCCCACAACCCCAACACTTCGGGAGGCCCAGGTAGGCAGACTGCTTGAGTCCAGGAGTTCAAGACCAGCCTGGCCATCATGGTGAAGCTCTGTCTCTACAAAAAAATACAAAAAATTAGCCAGGTGTGGTGGCACATGCCTGTAGTCCCAGCTACTTGGGAGGCCAAGGCAGGGGGATCACTTGGCCCAGGAAGTGGAGGTTGTGATGAGCTGCCATTGCGCCACTGCACTCCAGCCTGGGTGACAGAGTGAGACCCCATCCCAAAGAAAAAGAAAAAAAAGAAAAGGCGTTGAATATCTTTTGCCAGTACCCCTGACCAACCCACACACCCTTGTTAATATGACTCCAAGGATCATGGATCCCTTTCTGCAAAAGTCCATCCATAGACTCCACATTAGATGCCCTGATTTAAAATATTATTATGGTTCAATATAGTCATAGTAGTGAAGGAATTTTTGTTTGTTTGTTTGTTTGTTTTGAGATGGAGTTTCACTCTCGTTGCCCAGACTGGAGTGCAATGGTGCGATCTTGGCTCACTGCACCCTCTGCCTCCCAGGTTCAAGTGATTTTCCTGCCTCAGCTTCCCAAGTAGCTGACATTACTGGCACACGCCACCACGCCCAGCTAATTTTTGTATTTTTAGTAGAGACGGGGTTTCACCACGTTGGCCAATCTGGTCTCAAACTCCTGACCTCAACTGATCTGCCCGTCTCGGCCTCCCAAAGTACTGGGATTACAGGCATGAGTCACCACACCTAGGTCCTAATTTTTATAGTTTTAGTAGAGACGGGGTTTTACCATGTTGACCAGTCTGGTCTTGAACTCCTGACCTCAGGTGGTTTGTGCGCCTCGGTCTGCCAAAGTGTTGGAATTACAGGCATGAGCCACCGCACCCAGCCAGCAGTGAGGGAGTTTAAGTCTTGGTTTAAAAAACAATTATGATGCTAACACCCTTCAAATTAGATTTGATGAAAGTTTTATTTGTTATTCTTTGGTTATTTCAGGCTCGTGCTGTCTTGGAAAGAGAATTTAACAACCTTTTGGTCATGGGGACTGATAGAAGGTTTGATGAAGTAAGTTTTTGGCCTAATGTTCTTTAAATGTCTATGAAACGTGTGTAAATGTTTAAATGTGTGTGAAATGTAAGCTGTTATTATTATACTCAGGACATCATGTAGCTAGGCAGTCTCTCTGGATGTTAGAAGTTAGGATTTGCTCTTATGAATTTATTAACAAATGAGCCTTTAAAAACTCATACCTGGGCCAGGCGCAGTGGCTCATGCGTGTAATCCCAGCACTTTGGGAGGCGGAGGCAGGGGTATCACCTGAGGTCAGGAGTTTAAGACCAGCCTGGCCAATATGGTGAAACCCCATTTCTACTAAAAAACACAAAAATTAGCCAGGCGTGGTGGTAGGTGCCTATAATCGCAGCTACTTGGGAAGCTGAGGCTGGAGAATCGCTTAAACCTGGGAGGTGGAGGTTGCAGTGAGCTGAGATTGCGCCACTGCACTCCAGCCTGGGCGACAGAGAGAAACTCTATCTCAAAAAGAAAAAAACACCCCCCAAAAAAAACCACAAAAGTAATACCTTCGAGAAGGTAGTTTTGTTATTTTTGCTCTTTAATTTTTGACATCCCTCAAAAATGGTTTTCACATCATAAAACACTGGTTGCAGCTTAGGAATAGAGTCTGTAAGTTGGGTTTTAGGGACCACTAGGTATCCTACCCCAGTCCAGAGTATACCCCCCATAATCCTGTGCATTGGTGGGGTGGCGTGTTTCAGAAGTATATTAAAAACACAAAATGTTAATTTCCCCTTCAAACCATGACTCATTTGTTTCACACTATTAGGAGTCTCTTAATTGGACCTTAAGAAAACTTGAGTTTGACAGAGAGAATAGAAGGCCACCTCTAAAGATGAAGCACTCGTTGGCTGTATCCTGGCATAAGATAGAATTGTTTATAGCTTAAAAATTGTTTGTAGAGCTGCACGTGGCAGGGGCATACCTGTACTCCCAGCTGCTTAGGAGGCTGCAGTGGGAGGATGGCTTGAGCCCAGGAGTTTGAGGTTACAGTGAGCTATAATCACACCACTGCATTCCAGCCTGGGCAACAGATCTAGACTCGGTCTGTAAAAAAATAAATAAAAATGAAAAATAAACTATTTTTAAGATAAATAAAAATGTATTATGTAGCAAGAAAGTGATTCCTGCAAGGTAAGAAGTAGAACACGATGCTGGGGAGAAGGAGCACATCCCCATGGCCCAGCACCGACCTCACTTCGCCAGCTGAGGCCCAGCCGGACCATCACCATGCCCCATTTCACGCTGAAGTTCCAGTTTGGGTAATATATTGTGTGGTCATCAAGAAGGGATGAAATACACGTGAACAAGAATACGTACATTCTTGAGTTCAGCAGTCATTTTAAAGGACATTTAACTTTACATCTCTGACGTTTATTTTTTAAAGTGAATCTTGTTTTTTGTTGTTTAATTTACCAGGATGATGATAAAAGCTTTAGGAGAGCACCTTCATGGAGAAAAAAGTTTAGACCAAAGGACATTCGCGGCTTAGCTGCTGGGTCAGCAGAGACTCTCCCTGCAAACTTCCGGGTCACTTCTTCTATGTCTTCCCCCTCAATGCAGCCAAAGAAGATGCAGATGGACGGTATGTGATGGGTCGCGCTAACCTGCCACTTGCTGGGAGCATGAGCAGCTTTTTGTCTGGAACATTAATAATGATCTAAAACGGTCCAGTTAATATGTTACAAGGCACTTGAGTATGGTTGCATGTCCAAATATAAATGTTTTTAAATTAACTCTAACATTTGTTTATAAAAGTTTAACCATAATAATAGAATTTTTTAAACATTCTTGTCTGGTTGAATCTTAGCATATTTTTCCAACTAATAAAGCCCAGTATTCGTCTGTGTTCTCAGAGGGAGACTGAGGCATACTTGTAAATACGTGTCTGTGACAGGCCGTGCTAGAAAGCTCTTTCTGGAAATAGTAGTGTAGTAGTAGCTTCCAAACCACATGATTCACTGCTCTCCACACCGGAGAATATAACAGTATATTTTAAAGAACACACAGTTTACAGCTTGTGTGAGCTTTGCCTGTCCTTTCGGCCCTCCCTGCTGCTGCTGTTCTGTGCAGTCACGTGTCTACCCATTAGAGGGCAGGGAAGGGAGGACGGTGAACCTCCAAGAAGTCCCCAGTGGAGCGAGGCAGCCATGAATATACCAGCCAGAGAGAGAGCATCACTGCCATGATTTCAAGCACAGTTTGGGATTTTCCCTTTGACAGCCGCTTTGATTTGAGGTTAACAGTTGACCATGGCTTCCTGACAGGTGTCTCAGCTCTGATCTTGTACTCATCTAATGAAAGGCAGTGCACAGGTTGAAGAGCCAGGCTGCCTAGGTTTGACTCCAGCTCTGCCGCTAGGAGGTGCATGACCCTGAGCAAGTCATTTAACTAAACTGTGCCTCGGTTTCCCCATCTGTAAAATGGTCGTCATGGTAGTGTCTTCCTCATAGAGTAGTTGCGATGATTAAATGCATCATTCATAAAGCTGGTGAAGTTCCGAGCCCGTGTCAGTGGGGGCCGTATGGCAGCCCCTGTGCTACACACAGGTGTCACTCATGCTCAGTTCTGAGGCCAGTGAGCAGACTGAAGAAAAGGAAGTGGCATTAAAAACTGTGCTAATCCTTGAGGCCAGGAGTTCAAGACCTGCCTGGCCAACATGGCAAAACCCCGTCTCTGCAAAAAAAAAGTACAAAAATTAACCAGGTGTGGTGGCACACGCTTGTAATCCCAGCTACTTGGGAGGCTGAGGCATGAGAATCATTTGGATTTGGGAGGCAGAGGGTGCAGTGAGCTGAGATTGTGCCATTGGACTCCAGCCTTGATGACAGACTGAGACCCTGTCTCAAAAAAAAAAAAAAAAAATTTAAATGCTAATTAGGGGCCAGGTATGATGGCTTATGCCAGTAATCCTAGCACTTTGGGAGGCTGAGAGGCAGGAGGATCACTTGAGCTCAAGTTTGAGACTAGCCTGGGCAACACAGTGAGACCCCATCTCTACAAATAATAATAATAATAACTAATAATAATTGAAAACTGTACTAATGGGGTTTTTGCAAATTTTTTTTTTGTCATCAGCCCCTCCCATAAGTAAGTTCATAAATTTTGTTCTCTATCACCTGTATAAAAATCAAAAGAAAAGTACATTTATATAAAACCTTAGTTAAGCTGGACACTTTGGGTGAGAATAGCTTACTTTGTGGCATTTTTAGTAAAAGGCTGTATTATTTATTTATTGTTTGCCAGAGTTTGAGAATATACTTAAGGGGGAAAACTCAGTATAACTAAGAACTTTTTTAAAATTAGCATTTTTCCTCCAAGAGTCATGCGGATAATTCTTAGAAAATGTAACTGTAACTTGGCCTTCAGCTCAAGCGCTGTCACCTGCAGAGTCCACATGAGTGCTTTCTTGTTTCCTTGTGGCTTCCATTTCAGTTTTCCTTCTGATACATCACATTTCCCTTGTTAAATGTTAACAGGAATATTAAGAATGAGAGTTTGGATGGATGAAAAGTAAACCTAGGCCCGGCGCGGTGGCTCACGCCTGTAATCCCAGCACTTTGGGAGGCCGAGGTGGGTGGATCACCTGAGGTCAGGAGTTGGAAACCAGCCTGGCTAACATGGTGAAACCCTGTGTCTAGTAAAAGTACAAAAAATTTTGCCAGGCATGGTGACACATGCCAATAATCCCAGCTACCTGGGAGGCTGAGGCAGGAGAATGGCTTGAACTTGGGAGGCGGAGGTTGCAGTGACCTGAAATCATGCCACTGAACTCCAGCCTGGGCGACGAGCAAAACTGTCTCAAAAAAAAAAAAGTAAACCTAAAAGGTATAGAGAATTTATTATAAAGAAGACTTTTTACCCTTACATAAATAACTCAGGCACAAGCCTGCTAAAGGGATTATTATTATTATTATTATTACTACTGAGACACGGTCTCACTCTGTTGCCCAGGTTGGAGTGCAGTGGCTCAGTCTCGGCTTACTGCAACCTCAGCCTCCCAAGTAGCTGGGACCACAGGTGCACACCACCACACCTGGCGAGTTTTTTTAACTTTTTGTAGAGGTGGGGTCTCACCATGTTGCCCAGGCTGGTCTTAAACTCTTGGGCTCAAGCAGTCCTCCTGCCTTGACCTCCCAAATTGCTGGAATTACAGGCGCGAGCCACCGTGCAGAGCAAAATTGATTATTTTAATGGCTTTTTAATTAAGGGAATGTGGGGTAAACTCCAGCAGGTGTCCCAGGCTCTTAGAGTCAGAGGGTTTGTGAAGATCATCTGGCCTACCCAATAGTCCCAACTGTCCTAACGTCTTTGCTGGAACCATGCAATGTTGATAAGAGTTCCTGGTATACCTGTGGGAAAACAAAAAACATATAACCGGGAGCAGCCAGTACCTGTTTCTGATTTGTAAAAACTTAAACTCCAGGTTGTTAATGGAAATCAGGCTTATTTCTGGCCACACAGTGTGTTTCTTGAACAAGAACGAAAATCTGTGGTCTCTATGATTAATATTTCTAGTAGGAACTGAGACTGGGCTTCAGTTTTTAGATCAGCCCTCACCCCACTCCCTGGCCAACGCCCCACCCCTGCAGCCAGATCTCTGCACCTGCTCTGTTCCTCCCCAGGAGAAAAGGGCATGGCTTCCCAGACACCGCAGCTAGTGCTGGTCTGCGAGGTTCTCTCCCCTCCTCTGAGGCTGGCCTTGTACCCAGTGTCGTCGGCCTCTGTGCTCAGCCGGGCCGGGCGGCATCAGCGGTGCCGCGTGGTGTTTCCTTCATACCAGTGTCAGAGATGGAGAAAGTCCCATTGGTCTATGAATGTAGAGTTTAGTAACAGGCAAAGGGATCGCTCTAAGTAGGGTCATTTATGCAGATGTACATTTTGAAATTGTTACTGTCCCATTTGGTGCTTGGTATTTTGGAGTAGTGTTCCAGAGTCTCCTGGGGCTCCTTGGGAGCTGGGGAGAGCCACCACTGGGTGACACTTGGATCTCTCTCTCTGGCTCCATCCCGCCCACTCAGGCAGCTCCCCTCAGGTCCCTCCGTAGGCGCTGCTGTAGTTGTGAAGATGTGTGTCTACTTGTGCCCTCATGTGATGTTCTAAGACTAACTGCACGCTGTGTTTGCACGCTTCCTCTCGTGGCTGTTGAAACAGGCAATGTATCAGGAACACAGAGGTTGGATTCTGCTACAGTCAGGACTTACTCCTGCTAAAGTCTCCTGTTGGTGAGTAGAGAGCACCACAACCCCTGGAGGTGGCTCAGAGGCACAGCAGGAGTCATCGGAGCTGCAGTGCCAGACTAGGGGTGTGGACCATGAAAGCCAATGCAGTTTTTGGGGAATTTAAAATATATAGAGACACAAGCTCTCCGTACCCATTAAGATAATGATGTTGTTACAATTGATCATAAAGAGGTTAGTGTGTCCTCTTTTTTTTAAGGGAAAAAAAACCGTATTTTCACCGTTTCCTTAAACCTGAAAATGCTGACTCATTTTAATTGTCTGTGGATGTCATGCGGGTGCAGTGGGGAGGAGAGCAGAGCATGGCAGAGAGCGTCGGGGGAGTCTCTCACCCTGACGTCGTTATGCACATGGCCTTGATTCCTAAGCTTGCTTCGTTTTAAATACACATTCTTGAATGAAACAAGCCCAAAGTTTTGTGGTTAATGACATACTGTATTAAGTGTGACACTAATAGCCTGTCAGTTTGGAGAGACTGGTTCCTAAAACTACGGACTCTGGCTGGTGAGTGGCCCGCCCTCTCCTTGCTGTTCTAAGCAATTTTAAGGTCTCCGTTGGCATATTTGACTGGTTTGTTCATCTTTTATTTGTAATTGGTAACTTGTAGACGTAAGCCAAAATGAAGTCAGCCAAGGAACTGTCTCATTGATGTGCATAGCCCTTGATGTTCTAGCCAGTGATTCTCAGAGCAGCTACGGCACAGAAAAGTGACGGTCCTGGAGGGGAGGGGCCAGGGTTGGGACGTTTGGGCTCCAGCGTCAGAAGCTCCCTTTCGTCAGCACGGCCCAGCCTGCACTGAGTGGCTTTTTGTTTGTGTTTATTTTCCAGTTTACCCACACTACTTCTACCGATGATTACGCAGCATTTGAATCCAACAAAGACTACATTTTAGAATCCAATGGAATCTTTAATCTGTTAATACTTGTTATATGGACCCTAAGATATTTTATTACAGAGTTTTTAATTAGTGAAAAATTCATGAATACCATAGAGAAAATATTTTAGAATTTAATGTTTCTTATATTTATGTAAACTTATGACTCTTCATTTATATAGTTACTTACTTTTTCATGTATATCCAGGCTATAAATATCCTTTCAAATCATGTTCTTATACCTAATTTTAGTCTTTCAAATGAATGTACTGTAATGCTTGTATGTATAAATCCTATGAACAAATAGAGGGCTTTTGTAAATTATGCATTTATTGTAATTATCATTAATTTTTTAATGATAAACCATGAAAAGGATTTTACTACATTTATAAAATTATGACAGAAGCAATGTGCATTATCCTTTACAGATGCAGCCTAGCTCTACAGCAATCATTCTGAAATAAGCATACCTAATTTCAAGCAATTGTATTTTAATGACTGACCTTAACTATACTTTTTCTAGTAAGAAATGCTTTATTCTGCAGCATGAACAGATTTAAAATAGCTGGTGTTAAATATCAGCTCCTAATAAAATGTGGACTGAAAAGACTATCACAACACTCTGAGAAGCCCCTAGCACTGGTTAACGCTTTCCTAGCCTAGTCTCTGGATTTGGGGAGCTTGTCTTCAGTGGCTGACAGAGACCGTGAGCTGGGAGCAGTTCTCTCAGCTGGAGAGACTCGGGATGGGGTAACCTGGGGACCAGCCCAGCCCCTGCGCCCTCTTCCCTGCCTCTGCTCCTTGGGAGTGGGTGGAGAGACACCCACGTAGCTCCGCTTAGGGCCAGCCACCAAGCACCACGCGCTCATTCTGCAAGTCGGCGCACACAGCGAATGAAGGCAGGAGACCCGGAAAGCAGTGCAGTGCAGCTCTAATAAAGGCCTTATTTTTCTTATGTAAATTATCTTTTTACATTTGTTTGTAAACATGTTTAAAGAATGAACCTAGTGGGACATTTTTAGACCTCGATGTTATAGCCATTTTGGATTGTGTAAGTTGCAGATGTGGCTTTTACTTTTTCAATGGCATATTAAAAAGCCAGCAAAGCGTGTCAGACCATGGCGTGGTATTTCCTGTGCAGCAGATACAGAGGTGGAGGCAGCCTGTCTTTTCACAGTTGGTTTCTGCTTTTAATTTACTTGTACAATTCATTGTTACTGTTCTGTTTTTCTATTAATCTTTTGTGAACTTCCTGATTATGTAACAAAGTATGTACAGTCTACTTTTGAACTATTTTTATCACAGTATTATTTATTGCTTTCTTTCAATAAAGTACTGAAGCATTTTCCACTGCCAATGAAGAATACTGAGAATAAGCTCTAATTGCATTGAAATTGACCATAGCTGTTTTGGAAGGCAGTGTCACCATATGGCAATTGGATTATAGAAGTCAACTGACAGAATAAAGCAGCCAGGAGATGAAGTGCAGGTTCAGGGCATCATCCTGCCTGCTTCTCTGGAGGTCCCCATTACCACAGGAGACAGGTGCCTGGTGTTAAATGCAAATGTAGGGGCTCACATACACAGTCCATGGGTAGGGCTCAAAGGCAGAGCCTAGGCCATGGACTGCGCGCATGCACACGTGTCCCTTAACGCCGTTTCCCAGCTCCGCTTCCTTCCTCAGTGCTGGCTTCACACTCCCATCTGCTCTCCCTGCCTGCTCACGAGGTGGCTCCCAGGCCCGCACCCTTCCACACTGACAGCCTCTGGAAATCAGGCAGCCTGGGTCCCTAATAGCTCACATCCAGTCCTGAGCCGTGAAGCAGCCCAGCGTGGCAGAGGGGAGACGACACGCTGACGGGCTGGGGGAGTCAAGCAGGTCCCACCCATGGAAGTGGGTGAGCTCAGTCCCCTCAGGCTGCAAGGCTGCAAGCTGACGCCCAAGAGGAAAGCCAGACACCAGCAAGTGGCCCTTCTCCTCGTCCCACCTCAGTGTGGCCACCGAGCCCAGGATTCGCAGAGCCCATGGCCAATACCACCCCGCCTGGAGCAGGCATCAGCGGCCACCTCCGACGTCACTGGGGTCTCTGTTTCCTCATTGTCTCCACGGCTGACACCTCTGAGGGGCACGTGCTGTCACGTGGGTCAGTGTCCTGGGACGTTTCTCCTGGGCAGCCATCAGGGGTATTCTGTGCTTTCCTGTTTAGAGCCTGTGTTTGCTGATCTTCCCACTTAACGTAGGGAAAGCCTTGTTTTCTGTACTTCCTCGTTCTTGAGGTTAACCGAAGTGTGAGATTTAAAACATAACGTAGTGCCTCCCTGCTGTTTTTCATCTAATAGTCCTTTTTGGCTGAACAAAGCCAAAGGCATGCCTCAAGTATCTTAAAACTTCCAGAAAAAAAGAGACTGAGCTGGGCGCGGTGGCTCACATCTGTAATCCAGCACTTTGGGAGGCCGAGGCGGGCAGATCACGAGGTCAAGAGATCGAGACCATCCTGGCCAACATGGTGAAACCCCGTCTCTATTAAAAATACAAAAATTAGCTGGGCGTGGTGGCGCACGCCTGTAGTCCCAGCTACTCGGGAGGCTGAGGCAGGAGAAACGTTTGGACCCAGGAGGTAGAGGCTGCAGTGAGCTGAGCTCATGCCACTGCACTCCGGCCTGACAACACAGCTAGACTCCATCTCAAAAAAAAAAAAAAAGGACTGGGGGCAGTGGCTCATGTCTGTAATCCCAGCACTTTGGGAGGCCGAGCTGGGAAGATCAGTTGAGGCCAGGAGTTCAAGACCAGCCTGGGCAACATAGTGAGACCCCCTTCTCCACAAAGAAAGAAAAAAAAATGGTGGAGACATCTTAAAATAATCAAAATGACACTTGGCATGCAAATCGATTTGACGTCTAGGACCGTTAATCTTCAAACCCCAGTGTGCGAAGCATCACCTGGCAAAAGATGCAGTTGTGGGGGGTCCCCTCGGCATTCAAAGTGATTGAGCCCTCATTCATTCATTCATTCATTCATTCATTCTCTACTCTGTATCGGACTCTTTTCAGTGCTGGAGAGACCGTGGTAAGACAAAACTATTTCACCCTTCTAGGAAAAAGAAACATTGCTAGTCCTGTACATCCAGGGGACAGCCCAGGAGTACAAGTTGCACCATGACATTGGTGTGGAGGGAGGGAGAAGTCCTCTGGGGAGGCTGCATCACACACATCAAACGCCGAGAACCGTTTCATGTTCACGCTACGTATTTACTGTCTCCTATGAATAAAACCCCAGACAGGGTTTCAGAGAACACCAGTGCAAATGGACCCGTATTAGGTAATATGCCACCTTTCTTCATGTGACCTGTCATGCACCAGCTCCTTGTGATTTATTTATTTATTTTTTGAGACAGAGTTTCACTCTCGTTGCCCAGGCCGGAGTGCAGTGACACAATCTCGGCTCACTGCAACCTCTGCCTCCCGGGTTCAAGTGATTCTCCTGCCTCAGCCTCCCGAGTCACTGAGATGACAGGTGCACGCCACCACACCCGGCTATTTTTTGTTATTTTAGTAGAGACAGGGTTTCGCCATGTTGGCCAGGCGGGTCTCGAACTCTTGACCTGAGGTGATCCACTCACCTCAGCCTCCCAAAGTGTTGGGATTACAGGCATGAGCCACCGTGCCTGGTTGTGAATATTTTAAATAGGTCTTGCCAGTCGACCTCAGAAGAAGCCAATGGAGTACAATTTTTCACTCCTGATGAAGGGCAGTCGATAAGCATGACTCTGCCTTACACTACACAGTTCTCATCTTCAAATAGGCCAAAACATGCTCATTGAACAAAAGCAATATAACTTAGGAATTGGGGTATTACAGAAACTATAAGTCTTGAGGGAGCTGAATCACCAATTCTCCAACACCCTATTTTCATTTTTAAGGTTTTTGTTATAATCAAAGTAATACATGCACATCATTTAAAGTAAAAAGCCGGGCACAATGGCTCACGCCTGTGATCCCAGCACTTTGGGAGGCTGAGGTGGGTGGATCACCTGAGGTCAGGAGGTCAAGACCAGCCTGGCCAACGTAGTGAAACCTCATCTCTACTAAACATACAAAAAATTAGCTGGGCGTGGTGGCATGTGCCTGTAATCCCAGCTACTAGGGAGGCTGAGGCAGGAGAATCGCTTGAACCCAAGAGGCAGAGGTTGCAGTGAGCTGAGATCGCACCATTGCACTCCAGCCTGGGCGACGAGAGCGAAAATCCGTCTCAAAAAATAAAATAAATCAAAAAAGAACAAAACCAGCAGACCTTGCCCTTGTCCTTCCTCTCGTGCTTCCCACTCCCTAGACCATGGGGAATGGATTTGGCTATTCCTTCCATTTGCTTTCTTACTCCCAAATAATACGCGCTCAGCGTGGCCTCCTGCTTCCTCTATTTTGGGCCCTGTCTAGTGGCTTCTCATTGTGGCTGATGAGAATTTGAGCACCTGGCACCGCCCGTCCCCTCTCCCAGTCTCCCAGCTGAGGTTAAGTCAAGTCATTGGGGTCAAATCCATGTTCCGTTTTCATTATTGTGACTATATTATTTATTGGTGAGTCAAGTGGGATACTTCGATTATAACACGGGGCACATGGTAAGACTACATTCCCCAGTATCCACGGATGAAATAACACGACGTCTGGGCTTTGCTTTACAATAATCTTAGGGGAGGGAGGGATCTGCTTATGAATTGAACAACACTGACCAAGTGGATTGATGATTGTTGAAAGTGGGTGGTGCATTCATGACCGTTTTATTAATCCACCTTCACATTTGTGTGAGCTTTTCCATAATAAAATTTTTGCTGGGTGCAGTGGCTCACACCTGTAATCCCAACACTTTGAGGCCGAGCCTGTAGGATTTCTTGAGGCCAGGAGTTCAAGACCAGCCTGGGCAACACAGGCTCTGCCTCCGCAGTAAATTTAAAAATCAGCAGGGTGTGGTGGCACATGCCCGTGCTTCTCGCTATTCTGGAGGCTGAGGTGGGAGGACCACTTTCACTTGGAAGGTCAAGGCTGTAGTGAGTTATAATTGTGCCACTGTACTACAGACTGGGCAACACAGCAAGACCCTTCTCAAAAAAAATCCAAAAAAGTTTTAACAGTGGTCTCAGGCAGATCCTCTATGTGATAAACTCTTCGTCTTTGGATGTTTGAGAATACTGCTGCTTACCCCTTCACTTCGTTATGGTAATTCTGCCCAGTTTCAAACTCTGACTGCAGCCCACAGCTGAAATATTTTATATCACAACCCAGCACGCACACACTATATTTCATCAATTCTGCTGTGAACATTTTTTCATATTTTGGTATCTTAAATTAGGATGTGTCTTATAAGCAATGATACTGAAGGAAATCAAGAGATTTTACTCCAGGCCGGGCACAGTGGCTCACACCTGTAATCCCAGCACTTTGGGAGGCCGAGGTGGGCAGATTGCTTGAGCTCATCGGTTCGAGACCAGCCTGGGCAACATGGCAAAACCCCGTCTCTACAAACAGTACAAAAGTTAGCCGGGTGCGGTGGGGTGTGCCTGCAGCCGCAGCTGCTCAGGAGGCTGAGGTGAAAAGATGGCTTGAGCCTGGGAGGTGGAGGTTGCAGTAAGCTGTGTGATCGCGCTGCTGCGCTCCAGCCTGGGCGACAGAGCAGAGCCAGACTCTATCTCAACCACAACAGAAACATTTACCCCAAACTGTACTTTTGACATTTTTTTGAAATGGCTGTTATAGGGCCAACAGATGAAGGGTCCCTGCAAAGCTGTCCATTGTCAGGGCAATTTGCATCTGTGGAGAATCTCCATTACTGCACCCAGGCCCAAGAGATTAACTGAAGTAACGCCTTGAAAAGTCTGAAGAGAGCCATTTATCATCTCTGACAACTTCTACTTGTGAGGTTTCATCTACCTAATAAGACCCCGTCTGCAAGCCAGACCTCTTCCTTCCCGTTCTTTCCCCAGAACCTCATTTGCCAGGATCAAGCCTCTTCATTCTGTGCCCTCAGAGACCTGACAAGTTGTCAGGAATCTCACTTCAGGATTCCCTATTCAAGACCTTTTCTCTAGTTGGTCTTGCACTCCTGGGCTTCTAGTGATTCCTTCCCACCTCAGCGTCTCCCAATAGCTGAGGGGACCACGGTACGGCCCCTGGCGTGTGTGCTTCTTTTACAAGGCATGGGTGACCAAGCCCAGCAGGTTGGGGTAGCTGCGCAGCGCGCCACCTCTGAGCCTTTGCGGATTCCTCTTCATTTCTGGGGCTCCACAGAGATATCACCTTTTTTTTTTTTTTTTATGGAGTCCCGCTTGGTTCTCGCCAGGCTGGGAGGTTGAAATGGCGGCGATTCTCA